TCGGCCTTGCCCAGACCCTCAGCCATGGGTCCCGGCCTCTTTCACGTCTACCACTTCAAGAAGCGTAAGAAAATTTCCAGTGGTGTCAGACCTCGACCATGTGGAGCCAGTACTCTCATTGGTAGAGTCTGCACCCTACTAGAAAGCCAAGGTGTCCTTAGTAGATCCAAGACTAAAGGTTCTGAGTAAATGGTGAAATCTCACTCAACCAACCCCCTCCCCTATTTAAAGGAAAATGTATGGCCTAAATTCAATTGATCCAATGATCATGGATTGATTGACCTAACAACCAAAATCAACGGGCTCCACGTGGCATTGACCTAGGGAAACAAAACGATGTCAAGAGGCAGGGCTGGTTTGCTTGTTGATTCCGGCTCAAGGACATGCCGATCCGGACCCCCCATTCCGTTTCGTGCATGGCTCCAATCAGTTGACCCCGACGCTCATCCTATGTACGGACCTACAACGAATGACATTAGCACCCGTAGGGGGCACGGGTAATGCACATGGGTTGCCCGTACAGACTGTGGTCACACACTCTCAGCTTGGAATGATCATTTACTAACATGAAGGGTGGATGGGGGAGCAATCACCACATAGCCACTGAGAAGAGCTCTGCAGCCAAGGCTTTAATCATATTCTTTTCGGTCGAAGTCGAGACCTCAATGCAACCCACCTACCAACCTCGGCTGCTACGGCCTCAAGAGTGGGGGGCAAATGATGTAGGGATATTTGGCCGACCCACAGATCTTGACATGTGGTGTCAGTTGGATGCATCATGGGCATCCATCATCAACCATTGCTAACCACCACCACCTGCTCCCAATTGCCCTCCTTCTAAAGCAACTCCAGCTATAAAAGGGGCTCACACAATAAGATAAAAACATAAACTTAAGCTCTAAGTTTTCTCTCTTACTTAGTCCGACCCTTCGTAGCTCTCAGCTAATTTGACCATCAGAATTTACACCCCTAGGATAACTTCTAAAACATCAAAAATTAAGTTATTGCCCTCAGCTTTGTATTTAGAGACCTTCTTTGCCGGTCCCAACCAGCAAACTCTTTCATTTGGCGAGCCATCACAATTCACAAGCAACTTATTCAAGATTTTGTTTGTTTTTAGTCTGAAAGTCTTTAGGACTAGACTTTTGGACCCGGATACATACATTAGTCCACCCTCACCCCACTCAACACGCTAACCAACGCATTATTGGCTACCATATTTTTTCAAATAAAATAATTAAAATCAATGATTGATTGAATAAGCAACAACATCAAGGATAAAGGAGCATAATGGTAAAGATCAATGAGAGATAAGATAACCTTATCTTAAAGCAATTTCTAAGACTAATTATCAACACTGTGACGAGATATGCCTATATGATATACCTGCTTGTACATATTATTACTTTTTTTTTTTTTCTTCTTGAGGAAATTAACATATATATGTTTCATTAAAAACTCAGCGTCACAGATTACACATCTGAACAAATTATATTACTTGGTGTTGTTTGTAGATCTGCATGAATTTATTTGGTAAGGATATTTTAAATTAATGTAAATTAGTTGAAGCATGGAAGAATGTCTCGTACAATTATTTGATGCCCACCAACTAAATAGAACAAGATGATACAAAATGAAGTAGCATAGCCCATGTCGGATCAAACGTAGCTAGACAGAGTTGGGCTTCTTAAGCCAAAATTATAGTGATAGCTTACAACTACTCTGATATGGGCCTGTAAAGTCCAATTGAAATGATCACTATTGGTCACTCTTGATTGAGCCTGACTCAATTATATATCGACCTTAATTAGTTAATTAAGGATTGGTTTTGGTTGTTTCCCTCCATGAATCTTGGTGAAAATCCACATGTTTTTCATATTTAACACACTAACTTTTTAAAGTATATAATAATAGTGGGTTTCGACATTTCTGTTGGGACTATCCAGCTAACATGCCAATTGAATCACCACTTAGTTTGTGAAAATCCACATGACACATGATTGATTTTTACTTTTATGATGCCAATTGATTGGTTATAAATTTTTTTCACTATCATGTCTTTCCGGCATCATAGTCGGACCCTAAATGTATGCATGGTACCTAAAAAACCGATAGCCCATCATGAATGTGGTAACCAGTCAATTAGATGGGTCTTTGACCTTCTTTTACCCCTGTTAGAAATGGGTTCGACTATAATATGAAAAAGATATAATATCTGAAAAACTTTTAACCAATCAAATGGAATCATAAGCGTGATAACCAATTAGGTATTATTTATCAAAATTCATAGATGTATTTTGATTGGTGAAAACTCTTCGCATATCATATTTTTTCTGCATCCTAGATTTTCCCGTTAGAGATTTAGAATTGATGTTGGAGTTTTAGATTTTCCAAGGATTGGGGTTTTCCCTTGGCAAGTTATCTTTGCACAGAACGCAGTGTTGGCATGTCTTTGAGTTTGGATTTATTACAGGAGCCAGGTTTAATACGCTTGATTCTCTGTTGAAGCAATAAGTTGACGGTCTATTAGTGCCGATTGCAGAGGCCTCTCAAGTCTTGTACACCAGTTTGTTCTGTGTCTAGGTGTCATATTCTCTGTTATCATTCAGTTTCATGTTGGTACTCAGTCTCTACTTTGTGGCTGTTTTGCTCATTGTTTGATCACATTCAATACGTAAATGTCAGAAATTGTAACTTTACATTCATTCTAATAAGAAACAGGTGCAGTATTTTAAGGGAAATAAAATTCCCAATTAATTGGCTCACCAATACGGGGTCATATTCCATTCCTATCTTCAATGGTCCTCAAATTTTCCTATCTAGCTAATTTGCTTGTTTTCTTTATTGATGCTTCCTGTTTATGGTATTTATTTTTCTTTAATATGATTAATATAAAACATGAAAGAAGTGTCTAAATTCTTTTATAATTTTTGTATTTATTTATAATTTATAATTTTTATTATTTAACTATAGCATAATGTATGGACTCATTTGACCTTGTAGGTATGATCAAGCCCGACATTCACAAAGAGATAGAGAACAATCCAACGGTGTCAAAGTTGGGTTATCTTAAACATATTGGGGAGAAAGTATTGCACTAGGAAGAGACTTTTCAGTTTCTCTCTTGTGAGTTTTGGTCTTACACTATTAAGTGTTCTTTAGGGCATTATTGGTGAATTTTATCAATCATTTTCACAAATGGATGGAAAAACAACAAGTCTTCAATCATTAGTCACTGACAATGGTGAAAGTTCATTTTCCAAGTAAACCAAGAGAATGACTATGATTGTATTTGGTACCATTTCTGTTTAACTGTTTTTAATTACCTAAAATGTTTTGGGTGGGTCAAAACCATGGTTTTGAACTGGACAGTTAGACCGTTCGACGTGGAAACCGGTCTCCAGAACGGTTCCATGTTCAATTTGATTTTAAAAACTTTGGTCAAAGCAATCTTGTAAGAAATATTTTTTTCATCTAAATTAAACATTTTAGGTTGATCAATATAATACAAATTGCTTTTTCTCTACGTCAAAAACTTTGGTCAAAGAATGGTCAGGCATTCTTTTAGGTCCTTGATTTTGGCGTCTCTGTTGGCTAGGGCTGCGCCTACAGACCTTTCTCCCTTCAGCACCACATGTCGGTCTCTGATTGAACTAGATTCGGCAATCGAGATCAGCTACTGTGGTAAACATTGACCAAGCCGTTCTTTCACCGAAACCTGGGTAGAACGGTGCAATTTTTTGTGGTCGTCGCGTGCGTAGGACTGGATTGGAGAGTCTGGCCTTCTTGACGGCTGTTGTCTTCCTTGATCAGACTAAACCCTGTGCCTATTTGGGTGACGCTTTTTCGGGTCCTTGGAGTGAGGATCAGCTGTAGTAAGCGCCTGCGTGGCAGGGGAAACGGTCCGGAGGGCCTATGCTGGCTGTTGTCTTTCTTGATCAGACTGAACCCTATGCCTATTTGGGTGAGGCTTTTTCGGGTCCTTGGAGTGAGGATCAGCTGTAGTAAGTGCCTGCGTGGCAGGGGAAACGGTCCCGAGGGCCTATGCTGGCTGTTGTCTTTCTTGAACAGACTGAACCCTATGCCTATTTGGGTGATGCTTTTTGGGGTCCTTGGAGCGAGGATCAGTCGTAGTAAGTTCCTGCACGGCAGGGGAAACGGTCTGGGGGGCCTATGCTAGCTGTCCCAGCGCCTCCATCATTGCAAGGATTTGGTCGACCTTCTGTTGCATCGCTGGATCCGGTTGATCCAACATCCCAGCGTCTCCAATGCTCAAGTCAGTGGTGTGAAAGGTAGGTGGTCATGCTGAGTAGTTGAGAATAATGTTGGTCTAAGCAGAAGAAACAAAGTAGTAGTATGAAGAGTCAAAAAGTCCCTTACCTTGAGCGGAGGTTACGTACTTATAGTCGAAGATCCGTGTCCAACTTGAATGAGGCTTCTGGGGTTGTCAAGATGAAGTTACCCGCCGTGGTCTTTGGGATAAATCCGCATCCCCAACGGAGTTGTCTCCCATGTCCATGCAGGACTCTCCTTGGTCATGCTTATCCGTCTTGCATGATGCCAACGTGACTGAAGGGATAAGGCGGCCATGGAGGCTGCCACGTGGTGCCCGCAACCAACTCAACCATAACCCCAACATGAGCCACCTTTAATTTTCTTAGGTAGAACTATAGTCCATTTCAATCTTAGTCCAAGCATGATTTTCTGGATCAAAAGAGATTTATATATACAAACCCCATAATTGAATAGTGTTAATAGATGGATTGATTTGGATAATAGAAACATCTGCATGAATAAAGATGAAAAAGTGCACATGGATTTAAGGAATCAATGTTACAGACAATATGAGAAGAATGAAAACATTTTATTAATTAAGACATGAAGATAAAGCTTTATCCTTGCTATTTATACAACCCTTTGCTACTAAGTTACATCAATAAAGCTTGTTCTTGGTACAATGTAATAAGAAAATTACAAAATATACCTATATTTACAACCACTTTCTTTCTTCCTTTCTATTTTTCTTGGTAATTACAGCATCTTAGTTACCATCAAAATGGAAAATACATGCAGAAGTGATTATCAGATTAAAGAACTTATCATTCATTTCTCTTGGAAAGGGGAACTTTAAAACTTAGGACTTAATATTGTAAGTTTCTTGAAGGCCTCATAACCTGCCTCCTGTATTCTCCAAGCGCCCACAGTGGAAATATGTTTCTATACGCTGCATAGTGTAGCATACAATTCTTCATGAAGACTCCAGTGATTTCCTAATTCATTATAAATACTGCTCAAATTAGAAAAACATTGGAAATAAGGAAGTTAATGGAATAATCAATAGCTTTGCGGGTTGTTTCTCAAGACTTTGTTACCTGTTGAGGAAAGTCACCATCTTCCATTTGTGAATTAATCAATAGCTTTGCTGCACGATGCAAGGGTGTTGCATCTCTCTCTGCCTGGTCACAGGAGAAAAGTAAATATTAGCATTTCTGATTTTCAGTTCTAAGAAAATAATTTTCCAAGGGTAAACTATTGTATTTAACTATTTGAAAAGACCATTTCTTTTTTACCTAATTAATTAACCATAATGGTTCAAAGCAAAGTATGTTGAAGTTCAAGCTTCAAACTAACCTGTCCAGAATGGATAAGACCCATCATTGCCCATGCCGTGTGTACTAAGTTTGATCTACCACCTTCTAGAGGGATGTATTTCTGTTTCACAAATAATAACCTAAATGTTAATTTTAAACATTTTAAATGCACTACTTGACTCTTGCAACTATTAATTACAAATGTAAACACTAAAACTTGAGGCAGAGCTCTCTAGAGATAAAACCTTATTTGGGCATGAGAGGTAACTCTCTCCCCAGCCACCAGATTCTTGTTGTGTTGATAGCAGAAAATGAACAGCTTTCTGAACTGCTTTACAGTTAAAATAGGTCTTTCCAGCTGCTACAAGCCCTCCCATTGCAAACCATGTGCCATAGGTAAAACAAACTCCCCAATTTCCATACCTGTTCCATATCTTCTTATCATGTAATTGGTTGACTATTATATCTTTTTTTTTTTAACTTAGTATTGGCAACATTATATTATAATTGGTATTTTTTTTTTGTTTCTTTCATGATTAGAAAGAGAAGCATATATACCATGAGCCATCAGGCATTTGTATCTGTTCAAGAAAATGCACTGCTTTTGAGATGAAATTTTCTATTTCTTTCTCCCTATGGCTTGGATATAACTTCATGAACAGTACTAGAGCTTGTATTGCTGATGCAGTGCATTCAACATATCTGTAACAACATTCCTTTTAGTATATATTATGGGAATTATGTGCAGAGAAAAGGCACTAAAAGTGGAGGACAAAACAGTGCTAAGAAACCATACTCATGCTCAATAACAATGTCTGCGAAAAACTCTGTTGGGTTGAGCAGCTGAAAAGAAAAGAAAATGAAAAAGAATTTCAGCAAGTACTTATCAAGGGAAGTTTTCATTCACAAAATTAAGTGACAAGTACAAAGGTGGAGTTTTTCATTTGTTGTTTTTATTTTCTAGAGCATTGCTAATCTGAGTCTCAGAAAAATCTAAATGTGTCAGTGTGAGGTGATCTAATTACCAAAACAGTGCCATGTGAAAAGAAACAAACAACCATGAGATGGTAACATATAAAAGCAATTGTGATAGTAGATCTCCAGTTCTACCTATAAGAATTTTGGCTATATTTATTCCTAAGTATACACCCTATTTGATTAGACTTTTCTCTTCTTCCAAAGGGTAACCAAATCATATGCTTTTGGCTAAAACATTGGCCATATATATAGAGGTATTTTTGGTATTTGTAATACTCTATATTCTATGTTGTATTCCAATTAAGAAAGCACAGAGAAACCTAATTTAGTTATAGAAGCTAGCTTTATCATTGCAATTTTCTGTTTTAGCTCTTTCTTGATTGCTGGCAAAATAAGACAAAAAGATAAACTAGGTCAATCTGTAACAAATGTGTGTAAATTCAGGGGAGGAACTAATTAATAAACCCTTTCATGATGGAACTTGATTCTTGGGTCCACATCTTTAAAGAAAGATTTATAATTCATTTAAGTTTCAGACACCATCTCAGCATGGATAACCCAATTTAACGTTTACATGAAGTTGCTACCTCCAACCAATTTTCTGCCCTAGCTGGCTCCCAAGCTGTTAAACCACCATTTTTGCTCTGCAAACCAACATAATTAAAAAAAAATTATTAATATCAATTCTATATTGCTTTTCAATAATAATGAAAGAAACAGTGCTCTCATATTTTAAGTTTTCAAAATCTTAGGAACTTCAAGATTTCTCTTGTACAGAGACACCTTAAAGAAACCAGGTAATAACAAGACTTACTTTCATATTTCGTACACACCCCCTATTCTACTTTATAATAATAAATGTACACAAGAGGTACAACATAGGTTCATTAGTGATCAAAAAATACTGTTTAATGTTAACTATATAATCAATTAATTGATGTTTACCTGTAGAGAAAGAAGAAGGTTAACAGAGTCAAAAAGTTTATTTGGTTCCATTTTTTCACCAACAAATTCTTGTGGCAAAAGTGAAAACATGAGACAGGCCTACAAAAAAGAGAGGATAGTTATGACAAACCTAAAATGATTAAAAAATATATTTTATTGTTTGAGAATAATGTTTAATCTGAACTAATTACCTTCAGGCCTTCTGCAGTACAGTCTGATACTTGCCACCCATGATCTTGATCTGAAAATGTCCACGATCCTTTTGAAATGTGACGATACATTCTTCCAAAATCACCAGATGGGTTGTCCTGAACCTTTTAAGAGTGACATACAATAAATAAAAGTGGAGTAGAGTATTCTAATTATGAAATGATTTTGGAATCTACGGAGTTAAACCTGTGACTTTTTAATGAAATCATGCCCCTTCTTAAGGCAAGAGCCAATTTCATTGAGTGGAAGATTACTCGCCATTATTGCTTGAACTGCAAAACCAGTGTCCCACTGCTGACTACCAAAACTCTGCAATTGAGTTCTCTTAGATATCTCATTAGTACTTGGTTATAAGAAACCATTTCAGATAATAATTTCTTATGGTTAGATAACAGAACAGTTCAGTTACTTTTAGTTAAAGTGTGTAGAATATATTTTTCTAATTGGAAGACTATAGCTAATTCAACTTCTATGATCAAGAGCATGGAGCTCGACCATGTTTGAACTGAAAACCTTAGGTTCTGTGAAATTAATGCTACTAGCAGTCTAGCACTAAGATTTGCCATTAGGATGAGATTCAACAAGAGGAATTCTAAGACACTTGTGCTTGTAAACTTCAAGCTTTTCTGTTTTATCTCCATTATTGTTTTCTCTTTCCAACACCACAAAAAAGGAAAAGAATGCATCCCCATTTGATGTTCATCACAAACCTGCATCTTCATTCCGTCTTCAGCAACCCAAATGTAATCTGGAATCCTGGCAAGGTGGTGCTTGAATGCATCCCCATTTGGATCTTCCACCCAACAAGCAAGCATGCATAACACCTGTGACCAAGTCAAGGAAATAGTATATAATAGCTAGCCTTAGTCTGTAGAGGTAATAAAAATATACCAAAATGTACAAACTGAAAAGAATTCAGATATAAGATTGAATTATTTTACTATTATATTTGTATTACTTTCTCCACACATCCAATTGTAATGTATCGACTGTTGTCATCTTCATAGTGGATGTGCTTCATGGTTGTTTTCAGCGCCATTTCTCTCAACTTGTTAAAGGGCCATCTTGTCAACAGTGGTTCGGTAAGAAAATAAAGACTATCCCACAGCAAGTCTTGGATGAAAGGATGAGGGTAGTAGAGGTCCTCCTGTAATACCACATTATAAGTAATTAGCATAAGCTTTCCTAATGTAACATAATTAATTAACATGTTGAAGATTAATCAAGTAAAATCAACCTTTGCACATATGTGGCGGGTTCTGCTCCATTTTATTTCATGGTAAGGTTGAGTGTGAAGCTCCTCCCTAAGTTGCAGAACGAGAAGTGTAATTGGACCTACGAACCTCTTGCCATATAAATATGACATAGGCATGTAAACCATGCGACAGTAGCACCACATCTTAGCTGCATTGCATAACAATTAAGGAAGATGTTAGAAGGGCCAGGAGAGTGCATAAAAGAAAGAGCAATTTTATGATATAGAGAATGTTTCATGGGTATTATGACCCATACTGCATCATTGGGCTGTAAATATTGCACCCTTTAGCTACTAGTGGTGCACCCTCTCAAAGCATATAATATTTACATTATTCAGGCTGTTAATCTTACTTATACGAAGGACAACACTCAGAGTGCAACATTTTACAGCCTGAAGTGCTTGAAAAATGTTTCTGAACCAAGGAATTAAATCTACAGTATTTCCCCATGTAGAGAACAAATTAGATATTCCTTAATTTGTACTATGACTTGGGATGTGCAAGTGTAAATACTAAACCAGCGTCATTGGTTGTTGTATATATAAGTTATAAATATATTGAATTTATATATTCTGATCTGATTAATCAAAAGTATTAATGCAAACCTGGATGCATGGGGAGAAAGGATGGGAGAATCCAGAATTCTGGAGGCATTGGGTTGCTGCCTTCCCATTCATATACTCCAAGTATCTTCATCAAAGCAACACACACTATGAGCATTGATCACATAATTATCTATCTGAAACCACTTAATGGGATATAATTAAGCCTTCTAATTAATAATTAAGGCTGAGTTTGGAAAGAGTACAAATGCATACAAAATAATGTAAAATATAAGGTTTTTCACACTACATACTTATATTTGTATTCCTTCCAAACTGAGCCTAATTAAGGTACTTTTTTCCAGTACTATATTGTCACAAATTTTGAGCCATTTAATGTCACTAAAACTATTAGTTTTCAGCAGTCTTAGTAACCTACTAACCTCTAACAATTGATGTATCAGCTTGATAAAAGCCAAGTAATTAAAGCAAATTTAATTAATGTAAGCAGTCCTACCGAAAGCCAAGTCTTTCCCCAAGATGGTATCATGGTAGCACCACCATGGTCAATGATCCATTTGCGTGCTCTTGGAACGGCCCCATCTAGCCCACCTTCAGACCCTTCTCCTAGAATCCTCATAGAAATGTAGTTAAGTGCTGTACAGAACATGATACTGTGGCCCTCTATGTGTAGCCCCCAACCTCCATCTTCATTCTACAACATATGTACTAGTTATCATTAGACTATAGAAAAGATCCTCTTTGGGTTTAATTTGAAGCAGCACATGCCTGGTGATTATATATATAACGAAGAATCTCTTTGCGATGCTCAGCTTGAAAGACGGTGTTAAGATGTCCAGTGATGTATAGACATATAACCTGCACATGCATGCATGCATTAATTAACATCATAACATTCTTTAACCTATGTTTCAAAACGCCCCCCTTGAGGCTTCTTGTAAATTCTGAAACCTCCCCTAGTCCCCTCTTTTCAAATTGGATTTAGATGGTATAAGACCTAGCTCCCATATTGAGTAATGTCATCGGACAAAGACCTCCCATCCATTAGCAATGGCACTATGTTAAGATCCATCTGTACATGAAATATCATCAGGACAAAAATCTCCCTTAATTTCCATTAGCAATTGGTCAAGATCCGGGTGAAATTGTTTTTGAGGAAGACCCAAATTTGGCCTTTAACTCAGCACTTGTGCTGGCAAGCTTTTGTCTGTTTCTATTAATTAGCGTTCAATATATAGAAGAAAACTAGTTTCAGTGGTGATGTGAGTAGTAATGGAGGTTATCATTGTTCGGAGGTTGAAGAGGATTAGATCGAGCTTTTTTTCTAATTTATTTAAAAAACCCATTTGAGCCCATAAGAGCATATTAACTTTTCTCCTCCATTAGACATAATTCCTAGTTAGTGATTGGCTGACTGGTCCATCCAACCAACCAACCAGGTCAAGAAAGAGTTGAAAATACTAAACCACTTACCTTTGATCAATTCAAAATTAAATTAATAATCAACCGATGGTTGTCCAATTGGTGAATTCTCTGGCTGCTTCAAGTGGAGACTAGATTAATCCAGGCAGGTAGGGCTGTAATAATGGTATCTATTTATTTGAATTCAAATTCCAGTTTCGGTTTCAGTTAAGGGTGATCTGACTTTTGATTCAATTTATACGTGTATTCTATATATCAGTAAAGGATGATCTGATTTTTGAGTCTTGGGTTCTTTGTAATTTATATTCAATATCCAATTGTAATTTGAATTCATTCAAATCCATATATAAGAGATTCTAATTTGGAGCTACCTTATGTACAATTTGATCAAATATGTTTGCAGCCATACAGATAGGCCTAATCAGAGGGGGTAGCTACTCAATCTTATTCAAGTAATGATCAGCCCAACTTACCAATGGAGGAAGAAAGAACAGTGGACCGGTATTTTCAGCTGGCCAATGGCCGTCGCTCGCCTGGATGGCAGCGTGGAATTGGACAGCCCTCTTAAGTGCAGCAGTAGCAGCTTCATAGGTTATCTCCTCATTGTCTCCTATCTTCACTGGTGGTATTGTTTGAACAAAGCTATTCTCCTTCAAGAGCTGTATTTTAGTGATCATCAAGGAAAAAAAAGGCATCTTTGATTAGTGAATCACACTCTAAAGAAGATAGTGAAATCAACCTGCTGATATATCAAAATGATCAATAATTTTGTCAACCTTCCGATCAAGCCAAGGATCCAAGTTGAAATGCTGGGTCCCATCTATAAATTGTGATCTATTTTGCCCCTGTCTCTTAAGGCTAGGGATGCATATGTGGCCCAGTTGACCCAGGTTGAAATAACCCTAGCCCAACCCAATATGTTAAAATCTCATTTCTATTCCTAACCCAAACTAGTAATATTTACAAAGAGTACCCTTCATCCTCTTTAATCTTTCCTATTTGGCAATATCAAAATAATCTTCTCTATTCCCCTGTACAAGATACATTAATTTTTTTTTTTTGCTAATAAAGATTCATCAACCACGGTCCACCCACAATTGGCCCAACTTTAAGACTGACGTGTTGTATCGTCAGCTTTGGATGTCCCACAAATGTGTACACAGTTGTTTGTCCATCAAATAAAAATAATTGAGAAACCAAATTATGTCCAAAAATGAAAACAACAATGCTCAGGAATCTTAACGTCTCATAACGATAATGGTATTCTGACGAGAGAAAAAAAAAACAACACAATTATTAGAGTTTAGAATCATAATAACTAAGGGTCCGTTTGGTTTGCAGTTGGAATCCGAATTAGAATTGGAATTGAAATTTTTGGAATCGAAATTGGAATGGTTCATTTCCATAATCTGTTTGGTTCAGACAGGAATGGGAATGGGAATTAAGGCCCCGTTTGTTTCATAGGAATAGGGGTCCTATTCCGATTCCAACTGTTTGGTTGGGCGGAATCGGAATCCCATTCCCATTCCTACTGGAATGGCATTCCCCCATTTGAGGGAATGGCCACTCCTTGCCCCTCCCTTGGGAATGAAATCTCATTCCTGTCTGAACCAAACAGACTATGGGAATGGACCATTCCGATTCTGTTTCCAGAGAATTTCGATTTCGATTCCAATTCTGAGTATGAACCAAACGGGCCCTAAAATCAGAAGGAATGGGATTTCATTCCCAAGGGAGGGGCAGGAAATGACCATTCCCTCAAATAGGGGAATACCATTCCAGAAGGAATGGGAATGGGATTCCAATTCCACCCAACCAAACAGTTAGAATCAGAATAACTCATTCCAATTCTGATTCCAGACCCCTATTCCCACGAACCAAACGGGTCCTAATATATTTGTGAAAGATTTATAAACTAACCTCTAAATTTATAAGTTTTACAATTTTTTTTTTTGGATTTTGGTACAATTAAAAATGATGCTGTAATTTATGTGTGAATGAATTCTTTTTATAAAATTTTAGGTGGTTGCCCCTCTATCAGGAGTAAAGTTTAGGATTAAAAAAACATAAAAAAAAGGATGTCTTGTGATTTAAGGGCTGCCTCATAAAATTGGCTCTCACCTTTACTATGTCAAAAGTAAGGCTGTAAATGGTTTGGATTTAGATTGGATTCACCAATATCCAATTCTGAACTAAGTTTGGCAATTCAGCTTTTGAAAAAAAATAATTACTTTTCAATTAAAAATGTGCAATACATTTTTATGCACGCGCCTAATTAAATATAAATATATTAGTGCAAGAACAAGTATTATGCACGTGCCTAATTAAATATTAACCATTTATGATATGCTAGTGGTGATCCTGTGCAATACATGGGATGATGTTTAAATATATGTTCTTTACATATAAAATAGTAGAAAAAATAACTTCTTTTCTATTTTAGTTATTAACATTCAAACTAATTCCCTTATATATATATATATATATATATATATATATATCTAATATATTATGAGAAGTATATAAATCAACTACTTAGCATGATAACCAACTAAGGTTGCTCAGTTGATAATTTCTCTAGTTAGTTGTAGCGGAAACTTGGATTTACCCCAACCAGAAAATGTATTTAGCATGAGATCAATAATCAAATTAAAAAATGGTTTAAAATTGAATTGACAAAGATAATTAAATGCTGATCACCTTAAAGTGCTTTTTTACTGCAAGTTTTTATTGAATCAAAACTATCTATGAAACAAATCTACATTAAATTAAATTAACAAAAACATAGAGAAAAAACTGATAATCCATGGAAATCTGCAATGGTTTCTTTAAACTTTTATATACGAAGAAGATTGTTTCATCGGCAAGCAAATTTGGGTTTTTTGACATTAATTTGGGTCTAAGCTATAGTTATTTTGGCAGTTAGCCTAACCTAACCCATTTAATTTACACCCCTACTTCATTAGAGGAAGTCAAAGAGATTGAGAGATATTTAAGAGGAAAAGAGGGATATAATGGGGAGGGGAGATGTTACAAACATGTATATGTGAGAAAGAGAGAGAGAGAGAGAGAGAGAGAAATTTTAAAATGGTTTTATAATTAGAGAATAAATATGAATTTTATGAGAAACAATGAAGATCCATGAAGTCTTAATTTTGACTTGTTTTATTTTTATGATCTACACAGATCAGGTATCGGCCAGAGTAAATATGGATTATTACAAATAATCCACACTAGGTCATTAGATCAAGTATCGGCCACATTTTCAAGATCCGCTAACAGAACAGGATCTGCTCCTCACACATGGGCGCCTCACAGGCATATCCACCGTGCATTAGAAACTTCTCCCGTGAATAAAAATTTATAAGTACAAGAGATGTTCCCAATGCATGGTAGGATGTGCATGTGAGGTCGGTGTAATGTGCCCCGTGTGAGGAACAGATCCGGTCTCATCCGCTGAAAACCCTAATTAAAAGAAGGAAAAATGTTGAGTTAAAGGGCAACACAAGTGAAAAAGAAGCTATTTAAGCTTTTCTTCAATTTAAAGACATTAATTTAGGAGTATCACTGAACTTATAAACTATTTAACAAATTGAATCCACATAGACTTCCTTTTTGGACTCTTTTATAAACATAAGAGTATTGTAGATTGAAGATTAAAGTTATTTGGTCACATCCCACTTCTGATAAATAATCCTTAATTATTAGTGAAAACTGAAAACATTTGAAAAACGTAAAAGGGAAATACATCGTATGTTTTATGATTTTGTCATAACTAAAAGCGGTTTCTTTCTCTTTCATTGGTTATGTGACTAAATTAGTTTTAATATATAAAGAAAAAATGCATAAAAGTATTTTGTTCGCATCTAAAGATAAAAATAAATAAGAATTCAAATATACCAGATCAAAATTAATCTTAATTTAACCAATCAATCAACATCATCCTATTCATAACAACCAGTCAATTTGTTAAAGTTTTTCTTGTATCATACCTTTTTCCTAAAATGTATCAACCAATAAAATGTATCAATAATAATTAGAAAATATAAATCTGTCCAATATGACAAGACGAGAAGATAGAACATAGAAGGACTCCTCATCTGCCGCAAGAATGTCTTATACAGACTATAAAAAGTAAGCATGGCTGCAATTACAGACAGACTCGATGCAGATTTCTCAATTTCACTGTAAATTTATAAACATTCAAAATGTCAAATCACTTTACACACTAATGTGTATTCTGAATTAGCATCAATTTTTCTGACCCTCGACTGGGAAAATTAAACAGGTCAACTAAAGCTTTCCCACATAGATTATCTCACCAGCCCGTTACAATATTGTTTCTAAAAATCAGTTCTTCTGGCATTATCTTACATTAGTCTGGATCTATGGTTTTAAAAAATGACCCTGAAACGGAACCGTTTTAGCCATTGGTTTCTGGGTTGACGGTTCGATAGTCTTGTTTGAATTAATGGTTCGTTTTGACAATAAAAATTAAAAATTAAAAACAACCAAAAACTGTTGAATGGGTCGACTACCCAGATCAATGGGTCGTTGATCGATTAAACAGTCTTTTGCCAGAGACTGGGTTTGGGATAAAACGGAATCGGTTGCCTGGACGATTCCTAGGCCAAATGGTCTGACCATCCGGGTCAACGGTAGTTCGAAAACCATGTCCAAATCTGCTCTTCACACTGTGCGTCTCACACTAATGTCACATGTCCTTGCCATATATTTGGAATATCTTCTGTCCTTGAATATATTATTCATGGGGAGATATTCCCAACGCAGGGTGAGATGTGGCTGTGAGATCGATGTGAGGTGCACTATGTTAGGAGCAAATCCCAATTCAATGAATACTTTCAAATTGCCTGAATGCAGCGTTCCTGCTAATAGGTGAGATTTAAGCACAGTGAAGCATGGTTTTCAAAACAGGACCGAACTGGATGGTCCGACCGGAAAAACTGGGAACCAATCAGGTGATCGGTCCTGTTTTTCCCTAAAACCAGATATTTGCAAAAAAAAACATTGATTTGGTTAGCAAAACACTGATCCGAGCGGTTGAACCGTTCAATGGTTTTAACCGTTTTTTATTTTTTTTTAATTTTTTTAATTTTTTATTTTTTTGTTAGAACAGACCGACCATTTGATTCGAATAGTCAGACTGTTCGACCTAGGAACCGGACCCCTGATTGGTTGGTTCTCCAGATCGGTTTTAAAAACCTCGCAATGAAGTGAACCATAAAACCTACATAAATAAAGTGAATCACCATTTCGAGGTTAATTCAATAAATTTTTAATTTCCATGAATAGACAAAAGAAGGATCTAAAACTTCAAAATATTAATTACGCCAACATTTTCGATTCAAGACATTTACGGGAAGGGATTATTTAATTTGCATATGTATTTAAAACAGGGGAGGTCAAAATACAGGGCAAGTTTAAGTATTTGTTAAAAAAAAGCAAAACAAAACACACACAAGGGAGGATTCAGTAATGGAAATATGTGGGAAAATTTTTTCCGTCTAAGCTTGACAGTTTGGAGCAAGGTTTTAAAAACCGGATCAGACATGTAACCATTCTAGGGACCAGTTCCCGGGTTGAACAGTCTGATTGTCTAGTTTAAATGAATGGCCCGTTATAATTAAAATAATAAAATAAAATAAAAAACAGTCAAAAACTATTATCCGGATTCACTGATCGACGATTTGATTGCCCGGATCAGCAAATTGCTGACTAAATCAACGATTTTTGTCCAGAAAGCAATTTTAGAGTGAAATGGAACCGGTTATCTAACTGATTCCCATATCAACCGGTCTGACCGTCCGGTTTTCAAAACCATGGCTTGGAGTAATAGGGATCTCCCCACATCGCCAGTTAATACACACAAGAATCCTTGCTGGATGCATTGATGGGTAAATCAATGTGCAATGCAAGGAGAGAGCCCCGTTGACAGCCAAGGCTGTTGTGAACAACCAATTAGATTAGATCTTCTACTGATTAACCAGAATTCATAACAACAGATTACAAATCCCAATCAGAAATATAAACACATGAGTTGCTATTAACATGTTGGTTGCACTTATATTGGGTTGGATTGGGAATTTGTTGATTTTTCATCTGGGAGCGCAGCTTTGATTGAGCTGCTTTTGGAGAAGCCACTAAAAGAAGTTTCAGCAGAAAGAATTAAAGTATTTCTCACTAAAGGCAACTACTTATGATTTTCTGAGGTATTCACCAAACATAACTTATGGGCTGTCTGAGTAGGGCCAACCTCATAAAGCTAGAAGCCATTACCTGAAAATGGAAAAGCCACTACCTGAAAATGGAAAAGAAGTTTCAGTGGAAAGACCTATTTCTCACTAATTAAAAGGCAACTACTTATGATTTTCTGAGGTATTCACCAAACATAACTTATGGGCTGTCTGAGTAGGGCCAACCTCATAAAGCTAGAAGCCATTACCTGAAAATGGAAAAGCCACTACCTGAAAATGGAAAAGAAGTTTCAGTGGAAAGACCTATTTCTCACTAATTAAAAGGCAACTACTTATGATTTTCTGAGGTATTCACCAAACATAACTTATGGGCTGTCTGAGTAGGGCCAACCTCATAAAGTAGAAGCCATTACCTGAAAGCCCTCCCAAACGGACAGTGATTACATAGTCACGCAAAAACATTAAGAGCCAAATGAACAAGAAAACTTTGGCTCTCCACGTTCAAGAGTCTGGGCTGTCCAAAAAGCCCTCCTTGAATGACACATTAGTTCAAATAGGAATACATCCTGCAATCATACTGTCACAAGGACACATGAGAAAATGAACTTTGGCTGTTTTATAAAAGCCTGAACTGTTTGGGAGCTTTCTGTACATAAGATGTTACCATAATGGATCTGGAGAGTAAAAGAGCAATATAGTTATTATGCTCAATATTATTTTAAGCAGAAACACAAAGGTAAGGGATTGAATTAATAAGCTCTCAGGCTGTTTCTGTCCAAACAGCCAAAGTCTCTCCTCCCCTACAACTTTATGTGAACTAATAACGTGTCCTGAGGCAGCCCAGGATGTGGAATCTACAATCTAGACAGAAAAAATTTTCCCTTTCCCTGTAATGGACAACACTGCGGTGAGTAGGTACAAATATTGGAGAGAGGAGAGAGGAGAGAGGAGAGAGAGAGAGAGAGAGAGAGAGTTCTGAGTTAAATGTACCTGGAAGCGCAGAAGAACATCACCGCTGGGCTTGACAGAGCGGCGGTTGTTCCTGAATTCCTGGCGAGCAGTTTCGACCTGGGCACGCTGTTCAGGTGTGCCGTAGTCAGGATCAAACTCCCAAATCTGTCGTCCCACATAGTTGTTGGTGCTGTACAGATAAGGATCACCGCCCTGCCCGATCTTAAGCCTCCACATACTCCTTTAATTCCCTTCTTCTAATGAACCAATATTGCACTCGATCAGTTTCTGTTCGTGTTCTACTTACAGATTCCAGTAGTAATCGCAGCTCACAACCCCTTCGTTCTCTGAATCAATTCCTGCAGTTTCTTCATTAAAATTGTTGATTATATTGCATTTGCAGGCTAAAACACACGATAACTGACGATGGAGAATTCAAAGCTAACATGTTGATTGTATTGCTATTCCCATATATATATTTACATGGTAATCAGGTTGTTGTATACAAGACAGAGTTCTAGTGATACACGTTAGAGAATGGTTACAACTGATATGGAATGGCCCAACAATTCGTGATAATGGCGCAAATAATGGAGTGTGTAATAAACATGAATTCTCAGAACCAACTCATTATTAATAGATATATTGAACTTGAAGATACCCAGCAGCAAAACAATAGTGAAATACTTGAATCATTAGAGAGAGAGAGAGAGAGATCATAAGGAAGGAAAAGGGTTGATGAGAAAAATAATACAAGCAAATGCACATACCGGTTTAGATTTTATAGAGAGAATGAGATTATGGAAAACGATTTGTTGAAAGTTTGGACAAACTCTGGTTCAGGGAGCTTTAGAATTAGAACTACTAGCTAGACTGGACAAGTAAGAAAGCTCATGATCAGTATTGAGGATGGGCTTAGCTAGATCTCCGGCCAAACCAGCTGCTGCAACTTTGAGAGGTATGAATGTGTGTGCATGTTAACTCCATGGAACTAAAAGAACTCACCCACTTATATAGGGAAAAAATGCAAATTTATCAGATTAATTAATTTGAGGATATGTGGGGACTCCAGTGGTGGTAGTTGCACCTCAAGCATTATTTGATCAAGCAACATAATTAAAACACTACAGTCAGTGGCTGCTGGTGCACATCCCAGATGCCACATTTAAAACTCATAAAAGTCCCTCAGATTCGAACTTTTATCGTAATGAAAATAGACATCTAATATTGTATTCATAAGAAAATACCAACTCAAGGTTTTTAAAACCGAACCGGACAATGATCCGGTCGAACTGTTTAACCACTTAGTCAGTGATTTGTTCACCAACTCAATGGTTTTTGGCAAAACAACGATTTTTAGATAAAACAGAACAATTCCTGATTTTTTCCGGTCCAACCGTCCGGTCCGATACGGTTTTGAAAATCATTTACCAAATTGTTTCACGTTTTCCTTGCGATACAAAAACAAATTTATTCTAGTTTGCAATTATTGAAGTATAGTAGTGGTTTGTTAGAGGAGGCGCTACCAGTCACGTCCACGGTCCACATACAACACTTTAGTGGTGGGAACCCATCGGATAAGAAACCATATGTATTGAAGTAGCCATGTCCTTACATTAATTTTCATGTGGTTTGTTAGAGGACATTATTAATCCTAAGAATTGAAAAAAGAAAAAGGAAATTCTTTAAACCTCCCTTCCCCTTCATAATTTTCTGTTTTTCTTAGGTGGTTAGTGTTTAATTTTCTGAAAAGTCCTTAAACCTCCCTTCAACTTTGACCTGCCCTTATATCTCCCTGACTTTTGACCTTTGGAGTAAAGGAATTTATAGACCCCTTCCACTACTTTACCATTAGATCTCTAACAGCAACCGTTGATATCATGGATTCAAATTTATTATAATGCCAAATTTTTCCTTACATAAAATCATCAAATATTTGATAACTGAAATACCCTTAAAC